ATATATATATATATATATATATATATATATATATATATATATATATATATATTATCTATCTATCTATCTATATATACCCACTACCCACTGAAATCTTCCTTAGATATATTTGTAAGAGATGTCAGAACCTTGAACTTAAGAGAAAAATGTACTTGGGTGCATTACATTATTATCAATACAAACGTTTTGGTCAGGGTCACATCTTAAGATTTCAATTTGGCAAGAATAGCTTTTGTTTCCTTTCAACTCCCGTGCAGGTACTGGATCTATATGAGTGCTATTTCTTATTTTAGAATTTTAATTTTACAACCTCTATACATCTAAAGCGATATGGAAATTGAATTCCTGGAGTACTGAATAATTCAGAGCGAGGCAATTAGAATTGTAGATTTCACCTTCAGACAAAAGCAAGGCTTGTCGATTATTTGTATTGAATTGTTAGAAAAGGCTTCTATCGACAATTATTGTTTTGGCCCTCTTTTACACCATATATACCAACAAAAATTCATCTAAACCTTCACGAGGTTAGACAAGGTAGATCAACGATCTCACCTGTTAAAACACCTTTGTTTAATTTTTAAATTTTTAAAAAACACCACCCAGCCATATTGTTTAGGAATTTTTTGAACTTTTAAGCCCCACTGTCAGAGGTTTATCATACGTCCTGTTGAGCTCTATGGATAAGTTTTTAATCAACAGATGCATTTTTGTCATCTTACCATTTCAAAAACTTTTTTGAGTGTTGGATTCTGTACTGGGGATCTACAAATTTTTATTATTGGATTATAGTTATCTAAAGAACATATATCGGATGGATACAGTGTATTTTTGATAAAGGCCTCTGATAACTATTTTGATATTGGATAATAAATTTGGCTTATGATATCAGTAAGACATGTATCGGATGGATACAGAATGTAAGAGACATTTTCTTCGGTGTTTTACCGGATTTCGATTACCATTATTGAGGTAATATCATGCTTATTAATATAAGGAATCTATTTTTATAACATTTTTTTTAATATGATAAATTAATTTTCTGTAAAAACTTTTTTAAGGAGGGATTCTTGCCTGGTTTCTGACTAGATGAAATATTCAAAGTATATTTGCTTATATGTTTTATATATTTAGATAAGAGATTTAAAAGATCATATTATATTTTTCTTTCCTCATCCAATTGTACAACTTTAAATAGAAATGATAAACTGAGTTTGAAATCTAGTAGGGACTACATTTTTTGCGGAATGGCGGCGTATGAAAATATCTTTTTTCTGCCTCTCAAAATTATTATAGAACAATGAATTTAGTTATAATTTTTACACAATCAAAGACTTGAAGAAATTTTTTAATGTAAGTTAAATTAATAATAAGGGACTAAAGTTTTAAAATATATCAAATAAATATGATTTTCCAAACAAACTACAATTATGTTAGCTTTTAAAAGCTTCCAATCTAAGTACAGATTTGAGCCAAAAATCCGTAAAAAGTGTTGTTTTTTTTCTCTCCTAGCAAGCTATCAAAACTTTTTATTTTTGTATCATTTTGTATCTTTATGTGACAACTTTACCGTATGTGAAAATAAGAAAAATTTAAATATAGGAAGCATATGAAAATAACTAAAATATCCTAAAAATTTAAGAAAAATAGAGAAAATTCGGATTAGCCATTTTCCATTTTAGTTAAATTATATGTCAATTTGGTAATATTATCTTATAGACCCTATATGGTAATATCTCTTTATGCAAAAAGAAAAAAAAATTAATCTTTTGAAATAGAAGTAGGCATCGCATGATTGGCAATAGTAATTTTTTATTCTTAATGTCCAGGGAAAAGGTAATGACCTTGACCTGACCTTGCCTCTAATATAAAACGGTCAAATTTAATCTAACTGATACCATCACTTAGTGATATTGTGCTCTTGGTTCTGTGAAAATTTCATTGATTTTTATATACTAGAAATATGAGAAGAATCCCTCCTTAAGATAAGAAACTAATGCAGTTTTAAGAAAAAAAAACTATCCCAAAAAATGAAACTCAAGTATTGTAAAAGAGGAATTTTGAATGATTTGCACCAACTTGGACATTTAATAACTGAAGTTAATTAATTGGAAGTCCAAAAATGATTTTTACGTTCTCTCGTGTGAGTAATACAAAAAAAAAAATTAAATAAATAGAAATAGATTCTAAAATTAATTCAAGTAGCTTATTTCGACTCACTCTCCGGTTGCACCCCGTTCAAATTTAGTTGAATTCAAGTTTCTTGTTTTCTTGTGCCTTACAGCACATTAGACAAAGAACAGTATTACAAGGAAAATGAAACGCACCATTCATAGATTAATAAATATCCGAATACGATATTCTATGTGAATAAATATGATTAATTTGCATTATAAATTACGCAATTGAAGCGCAGACCCTTTCTCTTCAATGCATGATACAGATTTTTTCCCCCAGATAGTGATCATTCTTTGATTTTCTGGACACTAAAATGTTGTATAAGTTTATCAGTTTGAAACAATAATGTAGTGGAGACGAGTATCTTCAGTTCTCTGGGCCTCGTATTTTGATGTAATTATTTATTCAAATTCTTCGTTAAAAATTACGAGAAGTTGCAAGTCCTTTACAATAAAGGGTCATAGGTTTCATAGCATCGCTGGTGATTCCGTCTCTATCGATTCAATCAATGTTTCAATTAAATCACAGTGAAAGCCCGTAAGATGTAATACAAGTTAAATGTCAAATTAAGTAAAGCCGATCCGATTACCGCTAATTGATTCAAGTCTTTTGACTCCACGCAACCATATTTTCTGAATATACAATTAATCAAAAGAACTTTACGTCTTCTATATCAGCTGTCAAAAACGATATTGAGAAAAGCTTTAAATTCCGCTGGACAATGAGCTGATCCGACTTTTAGTTAGAACCGTACGATCACCCAACCCATTTTTAATGTGAAAGTTTATTTGATGTATCCTTTTACTAAGCAGTAAAGCATGATTTATAATTTCATTAATTTCAAAATTAGTTGTGGGTATTATTAATTAGTCGTTCCTGTTTCAAAATATACTGCAATGACGTACAGAATGTTTGACTTCGATGTACATATATATAAACAATCTTGATATGTGAAATAAGTGCACATTATGGATTAATTTACCAAGTACTTCTGGATGGAACTATGTGCTGCAAAACATAGCTTTTAATCATGTTAAGGTATGATTCAATCTGAAAAGACGATTAAAAAAATAGTTTCTGACCGACATTATATCTATTTGACTAACCCATATGCAGTATCGAGTAATTGCAATTTTAATTAGACATAAAAGTTTAATTTAGGAAGAGTAAATATTTGAATTGCCTCAATAATTAATATGGACATATCGGATTTCTTCGATGAAAATGCATATATTGTAATTAATAAGAACAGAATGTACTTTAGTGTTTTTCATTATATGGATTAACAAGAGAGAGAGAGAGAGAGAGAGAGAGAGAGAGAGAGAGAGAGAGAGAGAGAGTTTTACAAAATTTGTAAGATTACTATTGCATTTATTTATTCATTTTACCTTACAGTATTTAGTTTATTCACACACTCTGATTTCGTATGCTTGAAGTACATGTATATCAATGCTAAAGAAATGTATTCCCTTCAAGAATTGATTTTTGGTATAATGACAGGAAAATTATAATAAATAACCTTTTCCCTTCTCAGTTATGTAAATTTTGTTAATTAAGAAGTGAACATTAACTTGAATTTGACACTTAAAATTCAAATTAAGTATGAGTTTTAATTTAAATGTTTCAGACTCATTCTAATGTAACAGCTGATAATGTTTATTTTAAATTTAGGATTCCTAAGTGAAAAAGAGATTTTTAAAAAGAATTCTTCCTAAACCTACAGAAAAACATATCCAGAACATAATTATCATTTCCTCTCTCATTTGAATAAATTTTTCAAAAAATGCAATCTTTAAGTAAATGAAACGAAAAAGTAATTGACATTTAATATTCATATGAACGAATTGTTAGTCCTAAAGTAATCCGATACATTTTCATTCTAAGTTAACAATATTGTTCATTTAAAGGAATTCTGTTTTAAAACCCTTTCTAAGTAGCACAGAAAAGTACTGATACTTAGAGTGGAAATATTAAAGAACGAAGACAAGTGACAAACGAATAAAAATCTAATGATTAAAGAGCATTTAGTATGTGAAGGGTCTTTTTCTAATCCAGTGGGACAGTTTGTTAACAAACAACTGTGAATATGCTCATTTAAAAATAAGTAATAGCTTTAAGAAGACAAACGCAGAGATCCCAGGAAGATTATTTCTTTGGTGAATTTCATCAATGTTTAAGGGGAAAATAACGAAGAGTAAGCAATCTCATAGCTAAAGAAGACAAAACGAATTGTGAAGAGGGCAAAAACATTTTTTAAAACACCACCATCAGAGGAATATTGCATATCATTGTCTCATTCTTTGATGTTTCTCTTGAAACTTTTATTTTGCAAAGCTGAAATTCTGAGGTCAAGTCTTTCAAGAAACTAGCGGAAGACCGATATAGGATACCCAAAATCTGGGGAAAGTGTTCCTTTATCGTAGCTTTTTTGTATTTCATTGTTTTTTAGATTCAAAATTTTTTCATGGTAAAATTAGAGAAAATAGCTTTTGGGGATTTTATTTTTTTTACTTTTTTGGATTGAATTTCAAAAGTAAAGATTGGGAAGATTGAAAGAGCAAATTTTGTGATTATGTGTTTTAGCATAAAAAAAACCCCTGTACAAGCTGTTTTACAATTTTTTATTATAAACTATTTTGAGTCCTATGTCCTCAAACTCATTTTTCTCATACACTGTACACATTTCACTGAATTTTACAGGAATTTACTCCAAAAGACTTTTATTCTCATTTAAGACCTCTTATATCATATTGTTGACATAATTATTAAAATTTGGTATAATCCTGTGTTCCTTTCCTGAAATAAATGTTGTACTTCTGTTTCAGGTTACAAGGATTGACATTAAACAGTGGATCCTCATCTGAGCACGGGAAACACCTGAACACCAGTGAAAAGGCGCTTCTGGACTCTAACGATGAAGTAGAGAAATTACGGGCCAGCTTCGCTAGTCTTACAACGACATCACTGGGACATCAAAACTCACAGAGTTTTAATGACGTTCGTTTCCTGGCAGAACTAGTGAAACCTATGCAATACAGACTCAAACTAAACAAGAGAAAAGAAAAAGTGATCTTCCCATCAAAATATGGCTATCATCCTCGTTCACATTCTCCAACTTTCAAACGGTTAATTCAAGCCACCGAAAAACTGGAGACCATTGCAAAAGAAGAGAACGAGGAACTGAGAGCGAAGGCGGAGCTAGAGCGAAGTTATACCATTCACTCTACATCGGGGTTTGAGAATCCTTTGAAAAGAGAAGTTAGAAGATATGGTACTTATAAACTAAGTGTGCCCGAAACATTTGTTAGAAACAATGTTAGTGAAGTGCCTTCTCCGAAAGTAGAACCAGTGGTTCTCCCCATTTCAAAGGGACTGCAAATTCCTCAAGAGTATCCACCAAAAGAACCATTGGTGGAGGAAGATATTGAGGAAGAGGAGGACGAACAAGACGACGAAGATGATTATATTTCAGAGGAGGAAATCACATCCGAGGCTTATTTTAAAGTAGACTTCCGGGTGAACGATGGCTCGCATGCGCAGCTCCACTTGTTTTTGCCAAAAATTAATGATGTTGACAACGAATCAAGGACTGCTCGATATGGGTCAGGCTCCGTGAAAAATGAAGTTAAAAAGACTGGAAAATTACCACACATATCAAACTCTCAATCTTCCGGGTCAAACCGTAACCCAAATGTGCGCAGAAGCAGAAAACCGGATGTTACACGGAAAAAGAAACGGAGACTAGAGAGAATCCGGTCGGCGGCAGACAATGACCATCGCCGAGTCAGGGATCACTTGAATGACGTTGCCACGATGATGTCAATTGAACAGGACTTTCACAACAAAAAGCATGAACATGACTCTCTTTGTCAATTTGAGAATTGTCCGTATCATTCTATACCCAAAAATAATATAACAGTCAGCTAATACATATAATAGTTCCCATCATTGTAATCCTTAAATACAGTTACAGTGTATCATTTTATTATGAAGAACTCCAGATGTTATTACGCAAGTGATATCCTAACCTAATAATTTTATGGAACTTGTGATGAAATCATGCTGCAATTTTATTTAGCATTCCTATTTTTGTAAAGGTATCTTGTTAATAATGACAAATAAAAATACAGAAATAAGCACAAGGGATACTTTTTTATAACCATAGATGTGCTTAAATCTATCAGAAATCATAGCAGCTCTTAGTACTAATACACTACCTTTTAATAAGCGTTTAGAAAGTACTCATGAAAAAAATGTTATCAACATATAATACTGATAACAATGTTATCTCTATGTTATTAGAACATGTTGAGTTCTTACTATGATTCGCTAATTATATAAAGTTATATGGTGTACACACTTTTGAGAGCTGGTGTTGGTTGTGAGTTATGTCTTTCACTTATTTGCAATGAGTACATGAGTAACTATGATTAGGCATGTACTCATTAACAATTTAAAAATGTAAATTAGTGAAAAACATTTGTAAAAACAATCTTCCAAGGTATAAAGAATACACGATTTTTTTTAATTACATAATCTATGTTCTATCATGGTAAAATTATTTTTTGCCTAACTGATATAAAATTGTGGTAAAATTAATAAAACGAATTCTCAATAAAATTGTTCAAAACCACATTTCTCTGACTTCACAAAGATAATTTTGTAGACGAATCTTTTTCTGTTTTTAAATGATAGTATTTTTTTGCATGCATTTAAAAACACGTTTGAATGATCAATTTTATAAATTATTATTATGGAAAATGTAGTTTTAACATGATTTCAAAGGGGAACTTCAATGAAAATAATTATGGTGCATGATGAAATACTGCTTGATTAAAGTTGGTCATCATCATTTTCAATATTGAACAGAAAGAAAAACAAAAATATCCCCTTTATTTTCAAGTGTAGAAATGTGGTTTTGTAATGAAATTCCTCAATAGATCTGAAATCTTAGTATCCCTAACAATTTCCCTTCAGATATATCTAGACCTGCTAGGATAAAGTTGCTATCAAGGTCATTATAATGAACCATAGAACTTAAGAAGTGCAGACTTTAAACGAGGTTGTTGAAATCCCTGTAACATCAACTTATCTGTCAATAGCCTACATCGGTTTAAAAATTGATCTTACTTGGAACATGCTTTTGCGTATCGAATAAGCTGTTAGACATAAACACCATATAGGTGATAGCGGAATAATTCTACATAAATAAGGAGAGTTGGAAAAGCTGAAGTCATTTCGTTTGTCTCACAGTTAAGTTGTTATTTGGCCTTTATATCTATAGTCAGTAAAACATTCAGATATAAAACAGATGTGGCAGACACTGTGTTGTCTTTTATTTCTAGTTCACTGGGATATATCGAGTCAACATATGAATGGAAGTAACTACTGTTAATTGATAAAATGTCGTCGATATATCCGAATGTTGAGTTGAAGGCCACAACAAGTGTTTTCCTCTTCTCATTTAAAAGCTTTTGAATAGATTTTGCTTCATAGGAATATAAAAACAGGTCGGCCAATAAAGAGCAGAGTTAATGCCCATAGAAATATAAAAACAGGTCAGCCAATAATATATAGTTATTGACTGGATATGAGGGCAACATATGATTTGTTGAACCGGAAGGTGAAAATGTTGCCCAAGCTTAAGGCCGCAGGGCAAGGGCAACATTTTCATCTTCAAGTCAAACAAATAAAATGTAGCCTTAATACCAGTCTATAACTATTTTGTTATACCTTCACTTAAGATAGAACTCTAAAATGAAAACATTTTAACATATAAACTAAAAACAGATTTAAGTCAATATTTCAAATAAGTATAACTTTTGAAATAAATTTAGATGTAAAAAAACACATTTTTCATGTTGTGTTTGTATTTTTATATATTACAAGCTTGCACGTTTTTAAGCATGGTGATTTATTAAACATTAAGATATTCAAAATCTAAATTCTGACTTAAGTCTAATGATTTCTCAGTTTATGGTCTTGTTTAATCTATATACAAACAATGACTTCATAAGCAATGTTTTGGCTTTATCAATAAAAATGATACAACAGCAAAGAATTAAAAAATAACAATTATAAATTATTATATCACAGAAGTTATTTACAATAAACATAATTTTCCCGTGACGCCATCTTTCAAATAGCATAAGGCAACTCTTGCAGCTCTAAACTTCGGCTATTTCCGTGTCGCCGATATTGATCGACGACTAATTATTTGTGACGAAGCAGTGACCTTGCGGTCTAACAATATCCTTGTGTTGGACTGACCCGATCAACAATGAAATTGTTAGACTAATGCAAAAACATTTACTTTATATATATATATATATATATATATATATATATATATATATATATATATATATATATATATATATATATATATATAAGGGTATGACAAAGAATAGGATTAGTGCCCTTAGAAATATAAAAACAGGTCAGGTCAGCCAATAAAGAGCAGTATAATTGCCCATCGTAATTCCAACAGATTGTTGGAGAACCTGGTATCCAAACACTACATAGATTTTACTTAATGTGCAGTGTACATGTTAGTAATTATGTTTACAATAAAAAAGATGAGGATAACGAACAATTATAAATCTCAGGAATCCTATACAGAATTAAATTATTCAAGGCTATTTTGTAAAAATAATAACTAAAACGTTCACTGTGTAAAGGTTTGCATAAGTTATAAAAATGCGTGAACTTACAGTATTTAATTTTTTAAAAAATCACCAGCTCTGTCAAACGTGAAAATATTCCAAATATCCGCCATTTTTTACAAAACTAACCAATCAATCGTCTCCTTTTTATTATTAATGTATATAAAAGTCAACCCTTGTAAAAAAAAAAATCGTCAGACTTTTACAATGTAATTACCAGAATTGAGTGTTAGTATTTTTGGCATCTTTTTTCCCAATTCATTCGTTTCTTTGATTTACAAATACTTTTATAAATCCTTTTTATTTTACATTTTTTGGTACATACATGTAATGTATTTCCCATGACTTTTCCTCCTCGTCTATACCCCGTATTAAGTGTTGATAATGATCAAATATGCAGAAATAATGAAGAAATGTAAATTACAAGTTGCAATTTAGACATGAATATTAAACAGTATATTGAACACAAAGAGGCATAATACGGTATTTGATAAGTTAATGTTCATTCAAATATTTCTGACATGTAGAGTTTGAAGTAAACCTGCAGAAAGAGAAGCTTAAATGAATATTTTTTTTAATTTTCCAATATTTTTAATATCTTAGAAAACTATTATTTTATAATGTAAAATCCAAAATTGTGATGTAATACAACATTACAAAGGCATTTCATTAAAACAAACTTATGAAAAATATTTTCCCATACAATACTTCAAATATAATGGGAAAGTAATCAACAGACTTTTTCAATATATGTTTACTTGGGGAGAAATTAACATGGAGAAACTTTTCCCAAAATTTAAGGAAATTTGTTAGACTCAGTGGCATTGCCTACCTATATACTTTGTGTAAAGGGCCACAATTTGTTTAAACCTGACGTGGAAAGGTCTAGTAGAAGTTGTTTTTCTTCCAAAGATCTGTAAAAGGAAAAACAAACCGCAAGCGTAGAAAAAATACAGGTAAGTAGATTTAAAACGATTTTATTTTTATAACCCAATTTTTTTAGCCCCTCATTTTATATTCAGGATTAAAAGCTGATACATATATCAGGTGCTGGATAATCACATTATATGATTCTCTTTTATATAATCAATAGAGATTAACTGTAAAAATACAATAGCACATGAAGAAAAAATTATGAGTATATAGTCTAATGGAAATCCAAAATGTCTTCTTAAATTTAGCAAGTGTGACAATTTCACGATAAACTGTTAAAGAAGTGATGCCTTTGCACTTCCGTCAAACTTTGCCGGCCTTGACAAAGACGATCGCAAACCACTTACACTTTTGATTCATTAAGATACTTATTCGTCTAAATGTTTGGAATTTTGCTATCTACATAATGTGATAATACTCCACACTAATTGCAAAATTTAACAATCCACATACCATTAATGTAAATTTATTAAAATAAATCCATATGCACTGTACAACATATTGCTATGAATATAGGAACGTATTTTATGATTTAAAATGCTTTTTCATTATTACGTTCATTCTTATGAACTGGAAGTACATGTACACACACATCCTCTCGCACACACACACACACACACACAGATATATATACGTTGTTATCATATATTTCTTTTCAATGTAAGATTAACCAAATATTAATCCCAGATGCAATGAATAGTAACAAATATTAATTTTACACATTTATTGTGAAACAATGATTACATTTTGTGGCGACTATTTGTCACAATCTATTTATACATAGATGTAAATACCCCGGCGGAACCCAGGGAATCACTACCTGCCTACCGGGATGACCTCCCTAGATCCTTGGCGCGATAGCGCCCCCACAGGTGACTGTGGTGGGAACAGACCTCTTGGTACCAACAAGAGTGAGTGCCACATCAAATGAATGAATTCAAGTTCTGACTCGGGCCCTAACTCTATACCTGCCTCCCCTGGAATACAACAACAACATGGGGATAATACCCCCAGGGGTAGGCCCCAAAACTTGCCTTTGGTACCCACAAAGATCAAGCTGGTCCCTCAGGTACCGCTGAGGTAACCCGAAATTAATCCTCCCCAGTACTGAGGATAGATTACCCAGAGTTTTGAGCCAGACATGAGAGAATTCCTCATTCGTGGTAATCCCCGAATTCCGCCGCCCCCATCCCAGATTGTGACTTAAGAAACTTTACCATAATCCCAAAGCAAGAAAATTCTCAATATATATTTACAAGCTATACTTGCTTACAATACTTATTAAAAGTAACACTGTACAGTAACACTGTACGTAAACACATAATCATCAATGATCACCAATTTCACTGAAGTACTGATTATGTATCACACCATAGAAATGTCCAATAAAACTCAGGGTTGAATCATTTACATTGATTTCAACCGAAAATGACCAATTGACACCAAATGGTCCCACCATATACATAATGACCACATCCTTTCTTTGCTAATGATACAACCGCTAGGTTGTTCCACATACACATCTCTTTCCATGTAAGAATAGGCTTCTGTCACTGAAATTACAGAAGAGAAAGCAGCAAAAATCTGTACACATATTTTAGGGAAGGGTGGGTGGGTGAAATTTTGCAACATGCCTGCCCTTCTAGCTTTTTCGGTAGACTATGAAAATCGGGGTCATAAGGTGCTTGATTATATTGCGTCCTCTATTTAAAACTCATGGTCTCAATAATGTTTAACCACTACCAAGAACGCACGAGTTATCGCTCTTGCACTGGTATTAAAAGCATTTATCACAATATGGTGATAAATGCAATTAATCCCAGATGCAATGAATAGTAACAAATATTAATTTTACACATTTATTGTGAAACAATGATTACATTTTGTGGCGACTATTTGTCACAATCTATTTATACATAGATGTAAATACCCCGGCGGAACCCAGGGAATCACTACCTGCCTACCGGGATGACCTCCCTAGATCCTTGGCGCGATAGCGCCCCCACAGGTGACTGTGGTGGGAACAGACCTCTTGGTACCAACAAGAGTGAGTGCCACATCAAATGAATGAATTCAAGTTCTGACTCGGGCCCTAACTCTATACCTGCCTCCCCTGGAATACAACAACAACATGGGGATAATACCCCCAGGGGTAGGCCCCAAAACTTGCCTTTGGTACCCACAAAGATCAAGCTGGTCCCTCAGGTACCGCTGAGGTAACCCCAAATTAATCCTCCCCAGTACTGAGGATAGATTACCCAGAGTTTTGAGCCAGACATGAGAGAATTCCTCATTCGTGGTAATCCCCGAATTCCGCCAAATGAACTTGTCTATACAAGTTCACCCGCCACTAACGAGTTTGGTGTATACATGTTAATTTTTAATTCATTCCATTTCACCCACCTGACCTTTAAATTTCAAATTTTATAAGTGTTCATGTATAATAGACACTTGTTAGCTGTTCCATTTAATAAATCAAGACTCATCTTGAATTAAACTTATATCGGACCAAATAATTGACATACTTCGGACTAATAACTTGCAGCATAAGCAGGAACATTCCATACTATGAAACAATAATGATCCAGGCGAGGTGCCCCGGTCCTTGAAACCTTAATGTACCACCCAAGTGCATTTTAATTTATTCTAAATCAAAGAGTCAAATTCCTTCAATCTAATTTCCCTGACTCCAAACCCATTTTTTTAAAAAATCAAATTGAGGGCTTTTTCCTCAAGGACCAATGATGTCACTTTGGGTAGCTCAGTATCCTATGAATGCCATATCCCAGACTACACACAATCTACAAAAACTAAAATTTTTATATGGATAGATGTATAATACGTTTAAGCCAAAATTGAAATTGAGCTATAATATTTTAATTATACAAATCTCACACCAATGTTTGAGGCATGTATAGTTATGGATTCCACCCGCCCAATTGTTTAATAATTTGTTCAGGAATGCCCTATAATACTGCTGCTGAAAAGAGTGTGATCTAAAACAGTATTTGTTTATGTTACAGAAATGAATAGTATTGCAATTAGGGTTTGATAACTAATAACACGTTAGTCGTTAGGGGATTACCATTGAAATGTACCAAAAATTGGCCATGGCTAGGTGTACCAAGTTCAGACTCTATTGTTAATGATTTGTTCATCAATCTAGCTTAATGATGCCAATGTGACATTGTTGAAAAGGTGTGAATCAATTATTGAAACTTATCGTTTCCAATATTGACCTGAGATGCACGAGGACCCAAAGCCCAAAAATGAAGCCACTGTCAATGTAAAATAGAATCTGCAATTTAATTTGATATAATAACTAAGTAATGAACTCTGCTTAAATATAATAGTGAAATAAGTGATATTAATTACAAGTTTCTAACCAATAGTCTGACTTTAGCAGAATTGACTATTTGCACGACCGATTGCTTGTCAGTATGTAATAATATCCTGTTGTTAGCCAAAGGTACCTGAATAAACATTTATAGGTATCCCGGAATTTGTAAAAAATTGCATGTTATTAATACTCATATCATAATGGCATTTTTCTTATATTTTTTTCCAATCATTATATAACACATACCTGTAGTGTAAAGCATGTGCTATCGTTGGAAGACATCAAATATCACTTCAAATTTCATATCATGGTTAACAAAGCAAGCTTGAAGGAATTCGATTTATCTAAAGATTTTTAAATACTTTTATGGGACACAAATGTCAACTTTTCCCAGTTTCTAGACTACGAAGAACTTGAGTTGCGTGAATAAAAATTGTTGCACGAAAAGATTGAATTTCAAGCTTAATTTGAGTCTTTTTGATTAAATAATCTTTTTTTTTTTTTTTTTTTTTTTTTTTTTTAAAGAGTTATCCCTCTTGGCTGGGAGGTGGATATTCGATTACGAAAATCAGCTACATAACTTCATCTACTTTATTTTTAGTTATTTTTACTTAATTTGTGTTTAGCATTCTAGACACCTATCCTGGAATTGTTACATAGCTCAGTCAATGTATCTTGAGGTAAAACATAAGCATAGATATAACTGTCTCCATTCTATCCCTTAGAGTCAAACCTGATGAGAGTTGTCTTGTCATTAGATATTCCACGTTCAACACAAACCTAGTGCAAAATATCTAGCATATGTTTACAAATAGTGTCTCCCAATTTTCCTGTAAAAATAAAAAATTCATCTATGTAATATACACTATGTAATAACATTATCAATAAAAATATTTCAGAGCTCTTAAAGACCAATGAAGGCACCAATAGAATTTCTTAATTAAATATATACTCCATGAAGTTTAATATCATTGGATATTTCTAAAATCTAAATCATTAAATACCCAATCCATATTGGTAATATAATTCTAGCTAACCTTACAGCTACATTTATTTGCAATTATGATACTTCACCGGATGAGAATAAATGACAGTGGAGTGTATTATAACTGTGTCTAAAATTATATCATTTCTGTTCATATTTTAAATTCTGCTCTATAAATGCGAGGTGATTATATATGTAGAATTCCAAAAATATCTATATCATTGACAATTCTATAGATAAGAAACCTCTAGAAATCTCAACACTATTGGAATATATGTATCTTATTCATTTTATGCAATATATTTAGTAAAACAAACCCAATATTTAGGGGAATAAATCCTTTGAAATAAAACCCCGACCATATAGGGGTACAACATCTTGTCTGAATTCAACCCCGACCATATAGGGGTGCAACATCTTGTTTGACTTCAGCCCCGACCATATAGCCTAAGGGGTGAAAAATCCTGCTAAAATTAAACCCCGACCATATAGGGGTGCAGGATACTGTTTAAGTAAACTTCAACCATACATATGCAAAATCCTGCTAGAATTAAACCCCGACCATATAGGAGTGCAGGATATTGCTTAAGTAAACCCCGACCATATAGGGGTGCAGGGTCCTGCTAAAATTCAACCCCGACCATATAGGGGTCAGGATATTGCTTGAGTAAACCCCGACCATAGAAGAGTGCAAAACCTGCTATAATTCAAACCCGACCATATAGGAGTGCAAGATCCTGCTAAAACTAAACCCCGACCATATAAGGGTGTAAAATCCTGCTAAAACTAAAAATTTATGGTTAGTCTTAAATAAGCTGTTAATAAATAATACACAGGATCCAATTAAACAACCCCAACTTTACAGGGGTGTCATAAATGTATAAATTAAATGATATAATATTTATATGGCTATATGCATCATTATATTAGATTGCATTAAATCACCACTGCATATGTGGATTTTGAAAATAAACAGATGAAAATTGAACAATGTATCGTTAGACTAAATATAAATGCTCCACAAACATGTACCCACCATTATTGATAGACTTTATCAAGGAAACAATAACAGCTCTCAAATTATTATAATATTCCTTATTTCCCTGATTATTCAAATGGACCCCATCCACCAGAAATACCATCCTATGATAAACCAGATAGGCGAAAGAATGCTGCTCCCTCTACCTTCTGCAAGTAATAGGACATGCGTCTATTTAATTCAACAACTCTCTTGCACTCTGTGTCCACATGAAACCTGATACGTCTTGTCGGGGGAATTCTATGCAATGTCTGAAGCACCACTACTTTTTTACACATCTTCCGTATCACGGAGTTAAATTACAAAGTCCACAAGTTCATGAAAAATGTCTTCCACTGATGTGTTTCTCCGACACAAATCGTTTGATACAGCTTGTAACAAAACAACATCTGGATGCAAGTATCTTACGTAACGAGTGCCTTGCGCACGAATTTGAGCCAGTGACGCTCCCCCATAACCTAAATAGAAAATCTGTAGCTCCTCTGAATTAAGATTTAAATTCGGCGTCACCCGATGGTCAGAACTAGTTGATACAAACAAAGTTCTCAAATCTGCGTATAAATGAATGCCCAAGAATAAGGACTTTCAATGTCATTCTATCCACAGCATCAGCGCGTGATGTACAGTCACAGATACCACAAAGTGCAACGATCATAAATTCAAGCCTTTATAATTAGGGGCATCATGTTATTGTTCGCATAAATTACTTACAGTGTCTATAAACCGTATCCTTGGAACAGAATAATGCACAAAAATGGAAATAATTTTGCTGAACGGTGGGTCAAAACATTTTCCTTCCAAAGTGTGCAGACTAGAGATGAAATTTTGCAACATGCCTGCCCTTCTAGCTTTTTCGGTAGACTATGAAAATCGGGGTCATAAGGTGCTTGATTATATTGCGTCCTCTATTTAAAACTCATGGTCTCAATAATGTTTAACCACTACCAAGAACGCACGAGTTATCGCTCTTGCACTGGTATTAAAAGCATTTATCACAATATGGTGATAAATGCAATTAATTTAATAATAAATAAACCATAAAAATTTTGCCTATCTTTATCTCATACATTTCTAGTATTTTTTCTAAAGTAACATTATTACAATATTCATTTTCTATATCGGTGATTCGATATATCCCACTGAACCCGAAAGAAAAGCACAAGAGTCTGACACATCTGTTTCATATTTGCATGCTTTGCTAGAGTAATCTAACTACTAAACATTATGATTAACGTGATGACTTTAACTTTTCTGTTGTCAATTTTCCTTATTTATGTAGCAATATACCTTTTCAACTGCATATGATGTTTATGGCTCTCAGATGATTCGACACTGAAGAGCATGTTCTGCGTACGAATAGTTTCTAATCTGAGACAAGCTACTGGCAAATAAGTTGATGTTACAGTGCACCTTGTTTAAAATCAATTACATCTATTTACAAATTCTATGGTCGATATCATATTTATAATTTCAATCTGTCGTTAGGTCTAAGTTGACTGACGTATTTAATATATAATTGATAGGCCATTATTTTCATATTTACTGGATTACTCTGTTTGTCCAATCAAGACAAATGGCCCAGGGCAGGTGTGACCGGTCGACAAGGGATACCTTATCCTCCATAACTCCTGATCCCATATTTGATGTTTTCAGAGTTCCACTCTGCTGGTAATTTGTATTGTTTAATCGGAATTTTGAGCACGATTATTGCCTGTTATCTTCCTATTTCAGTAAATAATAAAATTGTTGATATCAGGAAGATTTTGATCTTCATCAACTTTAAACATTTGATCAATGTTTTAACGATATGTAAAATCTGTTTTCCTTTCTGATTACTGAGTATGGTTTATGCAACACTCTTAAAAATGTTGAATTAATGAATTCCATAAACCACCACTTATTTCAATAAAACATTTCATATACAAAGAATGACATTTCTAAATAATTAAAGACTGCAGCAGTCTTCCGCTGTCCTTCATTAAAAAGCGCACCTGTTGAATGGTCTGAAGATTGACTCTTCTTACCACTAAATGACAGTGTCTGACTTTACCGATTACATGCCTGTCTGTTAATTGCTAATTCGTTTTCATTTTTTATATATTTCAAACCTGCACAACAGCCTTTATTTTTGCACTTTATCTCAGACAGAAATGTAAATGTTTGCCACGTGACTGACTGGATCAAATGACAATTGGATTATAAAATTCTAAGTAGTTCTAAAATACATAACAGCATTTAATGAAAAATGTCTTATAATAATTTTCTTATGGTCTTCTCCATATTTTAAAAGGAAAAGGAGATCGATCTCCAAACGTCCCTTAAACAAGACAAATCTGTAATCAGGACATAAAACACGGACCCCTGGAAATTTCTGATTAAGACCTGAATCACAAAAAACCCTTTGCTTCAGATACGAGTTTCTATTCATTTTGCATTTCAAGCCATCGTTGTTTAACATGCTGCTATCCAAATACCCTGAATCTTATTAAATTACAAGGTTTGTTTTAGTTTCTTACAGAGGCAAAAATTTAATTTGTTATAAAGTACCCCAAGACGCATGAACTCAGAATTCTTGAATTGAATTCTACTTGTATCATCTCAAGCTGGTTTGAAGAGAATTATGCTTTAATATATGATCAATTATGACCACGATTATCATGTCTTGCTCTTGTGTTGCACTTCAGTGATGTCGAATCGAAAAAAAATGATTTTATTTAGAAAGAGCAATTTAGGAAAGGATGATCCATCCCTAATCCATGTAGACAATATACGTAATATGTATTCAGGAAATGTTACCAAATTTCTAGTATTGCTACAAGACAATTCATATTGATGGCTAATCGATAATTTTTTTTAACATAATAAACATCATTTGAGGATACCGAGGCATTGATTTGAACTATCTAGATATAACTTTATACTTAGACATCGATCAGTATAACTTACTTAATTACTTTGAAAGTATTTAGTCAACAAGAAACTAATTTATTTGAAAGTGTATAGGTACCTAAATTTGCAGTTTCTCGCAAATTTCACATTGACTAAACAAATTTTTTTGCAAATACTACCAATAAGTCAGATGATACAGTTTGAAATAAAGAAAGCTAAATAATGACAGAAAAGAGTTACAAATAAATACATTGTTTTATTTGCTATCTATCTTTTAAAACATTAAAGAAATATATGAGGCAGGTTCCCAAAAGGCAGAAAATGTGATTTTCAATACCATAGTATTGAATTAACAGAAACTCTACCATTTTATCTAGAGTCAAACGCTCTGTATGAAAAAAAAATTTATTGAAAGTCTCTTACAATAACATTTCTCAAAGCAACAAAAATCCAAATAATGCCCGAGACTTCTTAAAGCGATTTGTAAGGAATTCATTAAAACTTCTTTTTAATGTCTAAGTCGAGTTGTGGCTTACTCAGAAAATATTTGAGGGTTTAAATCAATCAATCAAAATGGATAACTTCGCAATTAGGAAGGTACATTTATGTTGTATTTAATTAAATAAACTAAAAAGACAATTCACCACGGAGTATAATAATACTTTTGTATTTCATTTCTTAGTAAAGATTATTTTACATATACTTCATTGTAAATAATCTATAAAAAATTATCAAAACAATGTACACATCACTTAAAGTTTTTCAATTATTTTACATATACTTCATTGTAAATAATCTATAAAAAATTATCAAAACAATGTACAAATCACATTAAGTTTTTATTTTTTTTAAAAGTAAATAGATATAGATACAAGTATATCATAACCAGTTTTATTTGTTTTCCACAATGGCAACATGTCCTCTCTCCAAAACCATAGATTATTTTGTTTCTGTCCATATTTTGTAAATGTCTTAGACTGCATTCAAAACCATAAGGAACCATGATTTTCAACAATTCCCTGAAAACAAACCACAAGACATGCCCTCATTAAATACTTACAGTTCATGGAGCTAGGAGGGTCGTTTAGTGGATTTAGAGAATAAATTGCCTGAAGGATAATCTCTGGTATTTCAGGGCAAGTATAATGGGCATTCCACATTTGGACAATTTGCAGTTTGGAATCAAAATAGTGAGACACATGAAAAAAAATTATTAATTTGAATTTCACAGATTGAATACCGTTTTTGAAAAGCTATTATGACTTTTAATATGAATCTTCTCATAAATCTGTTTCACAAAACTGTAGATGACAGTTGCAGAATGAAAAGAATCTCAACTCCGACCGTTTTGGGTTTCTTATATCACATTTTTAAGACAGAAGCAACGATGTATCCCCAGTTTTGGTTGCAATAAAGAGTTATATCAAGCATTTCATGCTTATTCATCTTTTGTTAATGTTAAACGATTTAAAATAAAGGTTAACTTCGAATTCTTTGAAGGATTAGATCTACTAGTATAAAGGAAATGATTTTTGTGCTTTTCCTATTTTTTGATGACCTTTTGCATTACTTACTGAACGACCCTCGTATGTCATTTAGTTAACCAAAAGGTCATCGAAAGTTAACTTTAATAAAAGGTGACTGAATGGCAGATCTCTGTCATACAGTTTCCTTTCCTGAAGTTTAAGTCGACTCGACTGAGAGGCACACTTTCATCCTGTTGTTGTTTTTCTTGCAGAGGCAAAAACATATGTTTATTAATTACTTCTTTGAGAGAAACATTTCTAAATTCATGTATTTAATTCTAAGTACGTGTATATTATGTCGCGCTGTTTTGGAAGGAATGTGGCTTTATTTCTTTATTATTATTTTCTATATTGTTATTTATTTCTTTACCTCAAAGGTTAGGAAGATTGATATATATAATTATCTGTTCTTGCACTTAAAAAATAACATACTTGATTGTTCACTCACACAATTCACAAGAAGTTTAGTAACTTCTTATAAATGAGGAAAAATTTCATGCTTAATTTTTAAATAAAAGTTGACATCCAAACAAAAATACATGCAAAAGTTGTTACGTTTACTCATTATCATAACTTAATTCAGAAAAAAGACGATTTTTTTAAAAGGATAAAAAGATTCAATCCTAATCTAGTCATAATAGGTCCTATTTCAATCCTAATGTAGTCATAATAGGTCCTCATTCAATCCTAATCTAGTCATTATAGGTCCCCATTCAATCCTAATCTAGTCATTATAGGTCCTCATTCAATCCTAATCTAGTCATTGTAGGTCCTCATTCAATCCTAATTTAGTTATTATAGGTTCTTATTCAATCCTAATCTAGTCATTATAGGTCCTCATGGTGTCAGAAAATATTACTAGTCTGTATTGTATAGCTCACAGACAACTATGTTGATGGCTACTAGATAATTTCTGAATATAAATAGACACCATTCATAGTACACTAACGGTTTGATTCGAATAACTGTGACAACCGGTCACGGTAGCCTAGTGGTAGGGCGCTCGCTTCATGATCGGGAGACCCGGGTTCGATTTTTCGTTCGCCGCGCCGCGTCAAACCTAAGACGTAAACATAGGTAGTGACTGTTCCTTCGTTAAGCGCCAGGCACAAGAAGTGAAAGTCACGGGTCTTTCGGATGAGACCTTTAAAATCGAGGTCCCGTGTCACGGCAGGCGTTGGCACGAGAAAGACCTTCACTGCTCAATGGCTTTGAGTGCCGAGTATAGATCTAAATTTGAAGCCCTTCACTGGCATACAGTAACGTCTCTATATGTGTGAAGAATTCTCGAATGGGACATTGAACAACATGCAATCAAGCAATAATCTGTTGAGATACGTGAAATGCGAATATGGTATCAGAATGAATATAACAACAAACGATTTGATTTCTTTTGAATCTTACAGACAGCGCTTTCATTGAATTCCCAGAAATCCAGTGTCAACAAGTTTGATTCAATAAACTTTTTAATTTTATAGTATTGTATAGTTGGATTTTTTTTGTAGCGAATTTAATATTAAATACAAATCGTTTTGTGTTAGAATTTATCTCGATTTAATGCACTGCCATTATTTCTGAACGATTTATATTCATTATTTT